TTCTGCCTTCAAGTTCACTGATTCTTCTGCAGTATCAAATCTGTTAAACCCATCCAACAAATTTGTCATTTCAGATTTTATAGTTTTCAGTTTTAGGATTTCCATTTAGTTCTTTTATACTTCTCTTAAAATACACTATCTTGTCATCCATTGTATCTATCTTTTTGTATAGATTCTTTAATATATTTATAGTAAATAGTTTCATATCTGCTAATTCTAACATTTGAATTATCCATTATTCTTCAACTTTTTCTTTTGGTTATGGTTTGCATTTTCTTTTTTTTTTTTTTTTTTTTCGAGACAGAGTCTCGCTTTGTTGCCCAGGCTAGAGTGAGTGCCGTGGCATCAGCCTAGCTCACAGCAACCTCAACCTCAAACTCCTGGGCTCAAGCAATCCTGCTGCCTCAGCCTCCCAAGTAGCTGGGACTCCAGGCATGTGCCACCATGCCCGGCTAATTTTTTCTATATATATTTAGTTGGCCAATTAATTTCTTTGTATTTATAGTAGAGACGGGGTCTCGCTCTTGCTCAGGTTGGTTTCGAATTCCTGACCTCGAGCAATCTGCCCACCTCGGCCTACTAGAGTGCTAGGATTACAGGCGTGAGCCACTGTGCCTGGTCTATCGTTTGCATTTTCTTTTCATGTCTAATAGTATCTTTAATTTTAAAAAATGAATACTGGTCAGCGTTGACAGTAAGTTATAGAGACTCCAGATTCTGTAACTTTCCTCTTCAGAGTGTTAAGTTTTGTGGTAACAAGCAGTTAAATTGACAGATCGCTTCGATCCTGTTGGAGGCTTTGTTTAAAGCTTTATTGAGGCTTGTCTTTTTTATTTTTGCCTTTAGTCCTATGGGTTTCAGTAGAGAGAACAAGCTGTTTACCAGTCTCCTCTAACTTGACAGAACTTGAACTCTGTCTTCCCAGCAGTAGACAGCTGCTGAAGTCTCTCTGCTCAGCCCTTTGAGACTTCCAGCTGATGTTTTCTACTGCGTTCCTGGGAATATCACCTTGTTGTTGCATAGTGCAGAAATCAGCAAATGATTGGAGGGGAGTTTGTATGAATATTTGGGGGCTCCCCCTTCTGCCTTTGCATGATCTCCTCCCTCAACTTCCGGTTGCAATGGCAGCCTCATGCTGCCCTCTGAGTTTCAGCACAGTTAGGCCTCAGCCTTCTGCCTGCGCTGTCTGTACTCCTCGTATGCATGGAAGTGCTCACAGGGAAAACCAGGCGAGAATGGCTCTTGCCTTGTCCCACTTTTTTCTAGGGTCATAGTCCCTCCAGTTTTTGCCTGATTTTGGTTGCTTTCCAGTACTTTCAAACAGTTGTTTTTTATATTTTGTCCAGAGTTTATCACTGGTTTTTTGGTTTTGTTTTTTCTGAGACAGTGTCTCACTGTGTTGCCTGGGCTAGAGTGCCGTGGCATCAGGCTAGCTCACAGCAACCTCACACTCCTGGGCTCAAGCAATCCTGCTGCCTCAGCCTTCTGAGTAGCTGGGACTACAGGCATGCGCCACCATGCCCAGCTAATTTTTTTCTATATATTTTTAGTTGGCCAACCAATTTCTTTCTATTTTTAGTAGAGACTGGGTCTTGCTCAGGCTGGTCTCAAACTCCTGACCTTGAGTGATCCTCCCGCCTCGGCTTCCCAGAGTGCTAGGATTATAGGCGTGAGCCACCTAGCGGGGCCCCAGAGTTTATCACTGTTATTGGCTGGAGAATTAGTCTAATCTAAATTAGCCTACCATTAAAGGAAGCAGAATTCTTCCATCCTTCTATGGATTTTTCCCTTCTTGGGTCTCTCAATTTAAAAAAAAAATGACATGTTTATGTTTTTTGGATATTATGTCTTTTCTTCTTTGAGGATATTAATGATAGTGATGGGTTTTTTTGTTTTTTAAGTTTTCTTCTCTGTGAATAATCTGTTTCTTCCAATTTGCATTATTCTGTTTATTTGTTTTGGTCTCTAACCCTTATGTTAGAGGATTTTTTTCCTGGTGACCTTTGTTGCCTAATAATGCTTAAGAGTAGGAGACTAAAAATCAGATTGAAAGCTCTGTGCTTGTGCTTATGGGCAGAACATGGAGTGCATTTCACAGTAGGGTGATCAGCTTGGACTGGTTGTTGGGTGGACCAAATGCCAGTATCTTTAGGTCTTTTCCTTGCAGGGCTAGTCAGATTACCCAAAAAAGTTTCTTCCTCTCTCTTCTCCAGAGAGTAAAGGTTTATTTACCTGTAGTGTGGGAGCTCCTTGGGAAGAAGGCTGGAGGCTCACCATTCAGTGGTGTACGTTCACTTGATCCCTCTGTTTTGGAATTGGTAGCCCTGTCCTCAGCTGTGCTTGGTGTCTGGTGTCCACCAGGCCTGAGATACTCTGTTTTGTCCTTTTCAGAGAATAACCATCTAGACTGATGGGAGGTATGCAGTTGCCCAGGTCTATAGAATCAGGAGATCTAGGGACCCAGCTGCTTCTCAAACAGCCTTCAACTAATCTGCTTTAATTCAGTTTCCCTCCCCCAGTTCCAGAGGTATCTGGTCTCATGTTATGAGCCCTTTGAGGATTCTTTGAACAAATTGGGCTCTCAGCTTTCCACAGAGCCAGCTTCATTTCTGGCTTTCTTGAGTGCACAGTCTGTTATCACTCATTTATCTGTTTTCCAGCTTCTAAAAGTCTGATGATTTCTTCTCTGATTTTCAGAAGGGAAGGAAACTAACTTAGAAGCCAGCATCTAGAAACCTTAAAAAGAGGTTGCTTTCATTGCATTGGATGATTAGAGTGCAGAGTCTCCAAATCCATGGATTTCAGGTCCTTCTGAGTAGTCAAATTATTAGGGAAGATTTTGTAAAACACAAAATAAGCACTTATGAAGCAAGGTAAGCATATATAAAAGTGGCAAATATAGATTAATGCATTTGAGAATTAATAAGTACAAAGGGAAATGATTTGGGCTACATCATGGTCTAGGAAGGAGACCTGAGAATTGGTGTAGACCTTTTCCTAGGATCCTCTACCGTTGCTGTCATGCTGGGGGCCTCTGTGTCTAGGGCCCTGTATGTGGTCTTGTTCTTTGCTTCAAGAAAATGCAGTGGGGCTGGGGAAGCTCTGAGCAGTGGAGATTGAAGTAATAGTCTAACAAGGGCAGGTGGTAAACACTGGGATTCTTCAGCCTAGAATGCAGAGAGGTGACATATCTCAACTTGAAACCATGACAGTGTGAAGAAGGCAGGTGGGAGCTTGGGCACCAGAGCCTGAGATGCTAGGAAGAGAGGGTTACTTCTGAAATGAGAGCAGGTAAGTTTAGCATAAATAAAAGCATAATTTACCATGGCAGGTCAGAAACTTAGGAAACTATTACAAGTGGCTCTTCTGGTAGGTGGTTTAATTCCATAGGGATTTGGACAAATGAATGACAGAGTCCTCTCCCTATAAAAAGAGAGCGAGGCTTCTAAGAGATGCTGATACATACCTTTAATTGAGACACTGAAGAGGATGGGATGCTCTTACTGGGCTGTTAGCAGAACATGGGGCTGGATGGAGAATGGGCAGCTTGGGGTGGGAGGAAAAATGTGACCTGAGTTAAGAAGATCTGGATTCAAAGCCTGAGTCCTTAGCTTACTCATTGTGTGACCTTGAGCAAGTTCCTAACCTTTCTGACCCCCCCCCCAAGGTTCTGGTAAAGATTAAATAAGGCAGTTATATAACCTAGAGTAGGTTCAATAAAGCAAAGGTTAGCCTGATTCCTAAACTGCATTTATCTGGGTCTTAATTTCACTCATATTTGCTGAGCCTATATCAAATGTCAGGCTGTGTATATATATCTTCTCTATTCTAGAAAGGCTCGCAAAGTAAAGGCGCAGCTCTGCTCCCTCCTGCAGCCCCTCCTCAGCATGATGCTGCGAAGGGGAGTGTCCCTGGGTCCTTTCCTGGCTGCAGAGTGGCATGCATGGTGGTAGAGCATGTCTGAGCATCTTTATTTATTTAATTTCTTTTTGAGATAGAGTCTCACTTTGTTGCCCATGTTACAGTGAGTGCCGTGGCGTCAGTCTAGCTCACAGCAACCTCAGACTCCTGGGCTCAAGCGATCCTGCCTCAGCCTCCCGAGTAGCTGGGACTACAGGCATGCACCACCATGCCCGGCTAATTTTTCGATATTTTTAGTTGTCTGGCTAATTTCTTTCTCTTTTTAGTAGATACAAGGTCTCGCTCTTGCTCAGGCTGGTCTCAAACTCCTGACCTCGAGCTATCCTCCCAAAGTGCTAGAATTACAGGTGTGAGCCACCGCGACCGGCCATGTCTGAGCATCTTATCCCATCTCAACAAACAGTCCCTACTTCCCTTCTAGCCAGTTTCCTAACAACCAAGCAGACGGTTTCACGACCTTCTGAGTAATACAAGATGGTGATGATTTGGTTTGAGGACCACTCCTGCTTTTCCCTCATTTATTTGTTTCTGTTTAGAGTCTCCAGGTGCCCAGCTCAGGGACAGGATAGGTGCAGGTTTGGGGGGAAGCAGGATGGGGGTGAGGGGAGTGGGAATAGTTCCTGACACTGTGATACTGGGTGAGATTGAGGTTCCCTCCTCCCCTACAAAGAATGTATTCCTAGCCCGTGAGTGCCCACATCACTGTGATATGATTCAATATGATGGCCTCACGCTCCTGGCCTTCTGGCCAGCTGTGTTCCCCATTCCTTCACACCTGTCAGAGGAGTTCCATAAGAGCTGTAGATGGATATATGAGCACGTGCCGGTGACCACAAAACCTTCCTATCCAAAATCCAACTTTTAAGATCCTTTAGTATCATTCATATATTTTCTTGCCCTCAGTTAAACTTCCCTTTTGGTCTAGCCTTAAACTACGTTGGGAGCTTTTATTTGAATTAATGCTGAACCTCCCTTCCCTGAAGGTTGTGATGCTTGTGGGAGGGCTGAGTGTGTCCTTCCTCTCGTCTTGCCTCCAGTGGGTACTTGTTTAACCTTGCCCTGTTTCTTCCCTTTTCCAGAACTCACGTGCTGTGTGTCAGACTGAGCTACCCCTGTCTCATCCTACAATCCAAGACTTGCTACACTGTCCTGCTGATGTTCACAGTTGTGCCTGGGAAGGAGGCAGCCCCACTCCCAGTACATTTCAGGGGGAGGCCTCCACATGCGCCCCATGGGGCAGGGGAAGAAACTGCAGGAGTTCACGTTCCAAAAGCTGTGTCTCCATGTGTGAATCAGTGGCACCTTGCTTCCTTCTCAGAGACCACAGGGCGGGACCTGGCTGAGAATTGAGGGGCTGAGGGAGCCACTCTGCCGCCTCCCTTCTGCAGCACCCTGCACTCCAGGATCAGTGGCTCCTTGGACGGTGGGGGCTGCTGCGAGCTCAGAGCCACCGCTGCCCTGCATGTGTCAGCTCCGCTCTGTCTTGTGCTGTGTAGTTATGTACAGGAGGGATATGGCATCTTTCTGAATGGGTTTTTCTTAAGAAATGTGCCAGTGTTTATGCAGTTCCTGTTATTTCCCTACCCTTGCTGTTACCATCACTCGGCTTTTTCTCATTAGGCTTCGTGCTTTTTTTTTTTTATTAATGGGGGGATTTTGCTTTTATCCCCTGCATCCTATATTTGCTCCCCTTCTCCCATTCCTGCAAGGTGTAGAATTACCTGAGGTTCTGAAGAAAGATAAGATAATCATCTGTGGGGAGCGTGTAAATTCTCAGCGTTATTTGTATTTTGTCATTGGAGAGAGGCTGGTGTTCTGCTTGGTCCCTGACAACTCCAGCAAGGGCAAGTGTTAAATGTGCCAAGCGTGTGGATCACTGTGACAAGCCGTTTGCTGACGGTCCTGTTCCCTTACAGCCAAACCAGCCAAGGAGGAACTACAGCCAGGTGGGGGTCCTACAGCAGGTCACAAATCACCTAGTTTTGTTTTTTTTTAGATAGGTCTCGCTTTGTTGCCCAGGCTAGAGTGAGTGCCGTGGCATCAGCCTAGCTCACAGCAACCTCAAACTCCTGGGCTCAAGCGATGCCTACTGCCTCAGCCTCCCGAGTAGCTAGGACTACAGGCATGTGCCACCATGCCTGGCTAATTTTTTCTATATATATTAGTTGGCCAATTAATTTCTTTCTATTTATAGTAGAGACAGGGTCTCGCTCTTGCTCAGGCTGGTTTTGAACTCCTGACCTCGAGCAATCTGCCCACCTCAGCCTCCCAGAGTGCTAGGATTACAGGCGTGAGCCACTGCGCCTGGCCAACAAATCACCTAGTTTTATTTTGGGCAGGTAGACTCTGTTTGGCTTAGGGATGTGGAGTGAGAGAAACAGTTCTCTCACTTCGTTTGCAGGCATGAGTCTGTGTGGATGGCACCATGACCCCCACCCCTCCAGCGCAGGCCCCAGGAGACCTGCCTGCTTTGCTGGCTTGGGCTCTTCCTGTTCCTGCCTGCCATCAGCACAGCCCTCGGTGGCTTCACAGCCAGCGGCTCTGTGCGCGCAGCTGCAGGGATGGGAATATCTCAGTGCCCGATTAGCTCCCCAAGCAGATGTGAGTCTGGCCAGTCCCCTGCCCTCTGTTGCAGGGACAGGCCTCAGGGGACAGGGTCACAGCACTGTGAAAGACAACCGGAGTCTGACTTCCCAGCCGTCGCCGTCTCTGGGGTTCCTGGGAGGCAGCTGGATGGTTGACAGGAGGAGCCCCAAATAGCCACATTGTTGCAGGACAGAGTGGCTACAGTTGAATTGATCCTCCCCGCGCCCCCCCCGCCCCAGGAAGAGTGAGGTGTTTCACGGAAGTGATGATGACGCTCTAGACGTCTGTGGCCATGGAGGCTGGCCCTGCCAGTGGGGAAAGAGTGGTGTGTGACAGTGGAGGGCAGCGCTCGGGGCTCGGGCTGCCCTGTCCTCTTGCAGTTTTGCAGGCATCATGGCTTCTCTTCTGAGGAGGAGTTGGCTCTCATCTGGGGCTTCTGCGGGGGTGACTGGGGAATGTCCCCACCACGGCTGACTCTCTGAGCTGTACTGACCTAGGCCTGGGGCCCTGAGGGTGGGGCCTGGTCACAGGCACTTGCTAAGATGGCAGAGGTGCCGACACCCCTAGGGGTTCCCACCAGAGGTCCCTTGAGCAAAGACCCAGGAAGAGGAGGCAACTGGCTGTCAGTGCCACATACCACGTGGGTGTGGGTGTTACTTCTCTAAAGAAAAAGATATAAGAAAGCTGTCTGTGCTGTCCCTGCTCTGGATTTATTCTCACGTCAGGCACAGAAGTGGAACTGAGTCCCTCACCCTTTCACTTTCCTCTCTGAATCCGTGTTAAATGGTGACTGTCGATTATGGAAACAATTAGCTGCCTGTGACTCTGCCTGTCTCTCCTTCCCTGTCTCTCACCCAGGCCTGGGAGGTCTGGAGACTGGGCCAGGCCAGGTCTGTAGGAGGAGTAGGGAGGCCCCTCCCTGCTGGTTGGCATGTGGCTTTGGGGGGAGTGCAGCTTGTTTTGAGCCACGTGTACCAAGAAGGCTCTTCCTTCCCCTTGCTAGCGAACGCTCCTGGCTGTGCAGTCCCGCCCTCCCAGGAAGATGGTGTTGCCTAAGACGTTATGCTCTCACTTCATCTCTGGAAACTCCCCCATCTTTCAGGAAAGATGCTAAGGAGCATCTGTTTCTCACCTTTGCTGTTCTGAGCGTTTGGTGCTGAGAGGGTTTCCCAGCCACCTCCTTGCTGAGGCCATAGTGTCACTGTTGTGTGTCAGTGGCATGTCACCATTGTCCAGTGGGCATGGACACTCAGAGACTGCACAGGCCCCAGCGGGCACACCCGGGGTGCTGTGCCCCCTTGGGTGAGGACACACGCTCTGCAGGTCCCCTCCCCACTCCTCACCTGCCCACCCCTCATTTCTTAGAGGTGCACAAGAGTGGAGGACGCGCTGGAGGTTGTCGGAACTTGTTAGCATGCCTTTCACGCCTCTGCCTCGTCCACGGCCCAGTTTCTATCACCCAGGGCCCAACCAGGAAAATAGAAACCACTCTAAGTATTTAATACAGAGGGGCTTACTCCAGAGGTTTGTTTAACACGGAAATAAGAAGAGCTGAGGGACAAAACAGGAGTGAGGGGCCGCAGCAGGTGCCGCCACTGCTGGCTGGCACAGTGAGGAGGCCAGTTACCAGAACCCAGGGGCCACGTCCACCGGTGGCCTACCTAGGGCACAGAGGGTGCTGTGGGGGGAGCAGGAGCCAGGGATCTTGTAAGAAATATGCCCCAGGCAGTGGGGGAGTGACAGAGAGCCTGGCCTCTGTGTCTCTTCTGCATGCCAGCTTTCTGCAGGTGCCTCATGGTAGCCAAACGCAGCTGGGAGCCAGCTGCCTTGGGAGCCTGAGACAGGAGACCTGCAGGGTCAGCCCCCTGCCGCTCAGAGCAGAGCAGGGGTCTGAGGGCAAGAGGGCCGGGCTGTGTGTGGCCAGGCCTGGTGTTCGCGCCTCACTGCTGCCTCAAGACCTGGCGAGGCTGGACGGAGGAGCTGCCGCCTTGGGTTTTTGTAGACCCTGCTTTACTCTGCCTAGAGAGGAAAGTGCTTTGGGGAGGGAGGGGAAAGCCTCTGTTCTTCACTGTTGTCCTTGTTTTCCTTTGGGGGAATCTGCCCATTTCGCAGCCCCACCTCGCCCTTCCCCTTAGGAAAGCCACGTCCTAGCTTTCTGTCCACCGGTCCTGTTCCTCCGCACCACGTCTCCGGTCCTCCCTGCCAGAGAGTGCTGCCCCAGAGCGAGCGCCAGTGCTCACGAGCGTTCCCCAGGGTACTCCGTTCTGAGTGTGCTAGCGCAGTGTGGACTGTGTGTCTGTGAGGAGATGCCATCTACTAATCAGTTTGTATCGTGTTTCCAATAAACTCATGGAAATGATGCCTGGTTAATGCGGTTCTTTTCTGGGCGTGTACACTTCAGGCCCAGCACCAGGTGGTCCTCGTCTCAGGTGCGGCCCCCCTGTCTCGCTGAGGGCCTTGGGAAGGTAACAGGCAAGGCCAGTTAGTCTGATGTGGCCCCAGCCACACTGAGACTCTCGGAGGCCTTTCCCCAGGATCTGCATCTTTTTCTGCAGTCTCCTAAGCTTCCTCCTGAGGATGCGGAGATTTTGTGAGGGCAGGTCATCCCAATAGGTGACCTTTGACCCTGTGCCCTCAGGCCTGGAGGTATGAGGAGCAATAGGCAGAGCTTTCCCATTAACAAGCCCCCAAGCCACTCTTGCACTGCTGTGGCCAGTGCTGAGCCGTGGGGACACGTGCAGGGGTACTTGGGTGTTGTGCTGAGGGAGGCTGCTGTGTCCCTGCCTGTTTGTGTAGACACTGCCTCAGTTGCTGTGCCAAAGCCATTATAGGGGAAGATGAAATGTGGCTCTCTTGGGACCCCTCAATCCTGTGTTTATGAAGTACATACATGTGTTTGTGGTCCTTGTTTGCTGGGCTTTATGAGAGATTTTTTTTTTTTAAAGGGGACACTGAGTTTCTTTCAAGAGTTTCCCTGGAGAAGACACACACACACGCACACACGTGAAGTCACTAGAGAAGAGAAAATGGAATTAAGGCGGTGTTGGTATGTGTAGAGTTCTGGAGTACAGGAGTCCGTATGGCTGGACTAGAGGTCAGGGAAGCTTTTGTGGAAGCAGGGGTTCCCCTCAAGGTGGAGCACAGCACCCACACCTCCACTAAGGTGCCATATAGTTCTTGGTGGCTTTTTATTAAGACTTTTTATCCTGACTCAAATATCACCTCCCTTTTTCTGGAAGTGCCTCTAAAGCTCAGAGTGTTGATGCCCTAGTTCTCAAGGAAGACCAACTTTAAGTTCCATGCCAGGACTGGATTTTTTTTTTTTTTTTTTTTTGAGACAGAGTCTCACTCTGTTGCCTGGGCTAGAGTGCTATGGTGTCAGCCTAGCTCACAGCAACCTCAAACTCCCAACCTCAAGGTGATCCTCCTGACTCAGCCTCCCGAGTAGCTGGGACTACAGGTATATGCCACCATGCCCAGCTAATTATTTTCTTTATATATTTTTAGTTTGCCAATTAATTTCTATTTTTTTATTAGAGACAGGGTTTTGCTCTTGTTCAGGTTTGTTTTGAACTCCTGACCTTGAGCAATCCACCTGCTTTGGCCTCCCAGAGTGCTAGGATTACCGGCGTGAGCCACCGCGCCCAGCCCAGGACTGGATTTTTATGGCCGGATTTCCTAGGAGGTTTCTTTTGCGCACACACACACCCGCCCAAGTAAGTTTTACCTTCTGTTTCTTCTGCTCCTGTTCCTGGCTGCAGGGTTCGCTATCCCGGAGCTATGGGTGCTTAACTCACCTGGCCCCTCTGAGCTCCTTGTTTAGTGGCCCTTTTGTATGTTCTTTCGGAGTTTGTTTTCTTATTCCCAGAAACAACTCTTCCAATCCTTTGTCACTCCCTAAACCCTCACCTGAGAGCCAAGGCTTCTAAGTATCCCTTGGCATTTTTTCCCTCCACTCCAAGACCTACTGGAAAGTGCATTGCCACAGCCTACGGAGGTGTCCGTCTACCTCTTGAGGACAGACCTTCCTGCCACCATCTACTGGGTCCATCCTCCCACCCCTTAGGGCCTTGCGGTAGAGTACCCTGACTCAGGACTGCCACTTTCTAGCTCTGTGACCTTGGCAAATTACTCTGCTTCTCTGTACCTCAATCTTTTCATCTGTTAAATGGAATAATAATAGTATCTACCTCATAGGACTAGAGAGGTTCATATGTGTGAGATGCTTAGAACGGAGCCTGGTGCACATAGCGTTTATTATTGCTGCATCATCATTCTGCATCCCTCACGTGTACCATCTCCCCTCTCCTCCTGGCACTATATTTAAGTCTCTCCATCCAGTCTACAAAGTGACAGAACAGTCACACCCCCAGAATGTCTGTCCTCTACTGAGCTTCACCTGAAACTGTTGTCGTCTCCCTTTGGGGGCAAATTTGTTGAAAGAGGAAGAGTTGTCTCCATTACTTCAAATCTCGTTAATTCTGCAACCCATTATAGTACTTTAGGCTCCCCGTTCTGCCCCACCCCCAGCCACTCACTGAAACTGCTGTCGATAAAGTCACTAATGACCTTCTAATTGCCAAACCCAACACTTTGCTTAGTCATCCTATTTGAGCTTTCTTGAGCATTTGAAGCTATTGTCACCATATTAATTTTATTCATTTATTATACTGACCTCTTTTATTCACTACCCAGAGCAGTGCTAAGTGACATTCAGATATCCCTCAGTTATATCTCAGATTTTTTTTTACAAAGATAACTTCAGATATAGTAATAGTCACTTGTGCACCACTTTTCATTTTCCTGCACTCTTTTTAGTTTAGTGTTTAATATCCTAGTACATTATTTTATATGGTTAATGCATATGTATGAATGCATAACCAAGAGAGGACATTTTGCATATTATTCAGTTTCATACAAATTATAACCTATCACTTCTCGAAAAGCTTTTTTAAAAAATAGTACCAGACAATGCATTGTTAATCCAGGGTGTCCATCCAGGCTGTTAATTGACCAGACAGTGTCAGACAAGCACTTTGGTTTTCAGATCAACTTTCTTCAGCATGTAATTAGGAAACACTTTTGCAAATGCTCTGTCCTTGCATGATGCTCTATTCTTGCAAGAGGCACTTTGTAGACTGCCTGAGTATTTTATGTTTGGCTTTTACCTTCATAAAAGATGGCTTTATTCTTTTCTTTTTAATGGGCAATCTCTTTAGTTGGGCGAAGAGATTGCCTTGACTTCTTTTATGCTATTTTTTTTTCTTGCTGCAGTCCTGGTTTTCTTCCTGCTTAAAGGTTTTTTTCTGAGCTTTTCATTTGCTACACATGCCCCTTACCTACAGGGTTTTTTAAAGGATGGTTCTTGGTTCTATTCACTCTCTCCCTGGATGACCTCATTCCTTCCCATAATCTCAACTCCCCATGGTGCTGGGATACCCTGAGTCTTGTCTCCAGCCCCACCTCATCTTACCACCACACCTGCCCTAGCACTGCACCCTCAATGTGTCCCTAGAGCCACCACCATTGTCCCCTCAGCTGTGCCTCTCCATTCTGACCCTGTGTGCTCTCTGCTGCTGTCCTTCTCAGGCCCCTCCTTGGAATAAAGATGATTCCTACTTAGGTCGTCTCCACATCCCCTCCCCTCACCAGCCTATCCACACTGTCACCGGAGTGACTGATAAAAATGCAAAGCTGATCATCATCTTCTACTTAAAAGCCTCATGCATACGTTCCTCCCCTGCCATGCTGGGTCGTCCATGGGATCGACCCAGGCTCCAGTTTTGGCATCGGAGCCCTCCTTGGTCTGGCCCCACTTGCCTTGCCTGCCTGTCCCCTAACTCTGTGCTAGGCGTCCTCCTCTCCTGTCTCAGTGACCTCCTGCTCCCATGCACACTCGTCTCACAACTCTGAGCCCTGTTCATGCTCTTCCCTCCTCTGTGTCCTCATCCTCGAAGATCCAGCGCAGATGCATCACCTCCGACAACGCAGGCAGAGTTAGCTCTTCCCACCCTCTGTTCTCTCGGGGTGCATTCCCTCCTAAAAGACCTTCCGCTGCACTGGGTTGGGTTGCATTGGATCCATCTGCATTGGAGACAAGTCTGTCTCTTCCGGGCTTAGCCTCCCGCGGCTCAAGGTCAGAGTGGTGGTGGTCACCTCTGTAGCTCAGTGTCTGGCCTGTGGGGTGCCCGAGTTAGTGATTGTTGGCCTGGCCCCGGCCCTGCCTGCTCACCCCCCTGCAGGAGTCCCTGGAGTAAAGTAAGGCATGCCATTGGGTCTTCCCTCAGGGTGGAAACAGTTGTATTAGAAGAAAGAAGAGAAAAAAGAAAATTCACACTGAATAGTGCAGCCCACCCCAGGGACCCAAATGCTGTTTGGAACCCAAATGTAGGAAATGGGGTCTCTACTCAGCCTATCCCCAGCTCACCTTATACTACATTAGGCACAACTTTCCCATCTGTAGAAAACCCTGCACTTAAACAATTTTCTTTTTCTTTGTCTTCCCCTTCCTTCTCCCTACCCCTCCACGTAATAACGGCCTTCCTCACTCGGTGCTCTGCATATAGTTATTTCCACCTTCAGCCCCTGGAGTCGGGCAAGGGCCAGGATCAGCGTTCCCACGTGTAGATGAGAACTAAGTCCAGAGAAGCGTACAGGGGGTCGGGGCCAAGGTTAGGGGCAGGCAGTCCTACCTCCATGCTGGAGGCAGCCTGCAGCCCTGCTTCATGAGGAAACACCCAGACCCGGAGAGGTGAGGAAGGGTGGTGGCCCAGCTGGCCCACGAGAGAGCAGTCCTCGACTCCCACATGAGAGGCAAGGAGGATCCAGGGCAGGTTAGGAATGTGGGCCCAAACCCTGTGACCAGAATTTCCCAGGGGCTCAGAGTGGCCTCTGCTCCCTCCCTTGGTGGGAAAAGAGAGGGGTGCAGATAAGTCTGTGAGTCACGGGGAATAGCTGGTCATCTGTCCTACATCAGGGCGGGCGCCAGGGTTGGGGTGGGGAGGGGAGCCCCGTTGCTGGGGTGGGTGGGAAGGCTTGACGGAGGAGTTGGCAGGGGAGAGGGGCCCAGGGAAGGGGAGATTGAGGAATGGGCCTGTGGAGCTGCCCTGAAGGTGGGCACGTTCAGGGGCAGAGGTGGTCCTAGAGGAAAGGTGCCTGGCATTGGGCTGGCAGCGAGTGTTAGCACCTTGCTCGGGGCTCCAGGAGAAAGAGTGGCTCAGGCCCAGGCGGCTTTGTCTTGCTGCCAGCCCCCTGGGTCCTACCACTGCCTCCGCCTGGCTCCTGGGCTGCCGACGCCCCTCGTCTCTCCCCGCCCCGCCCGGCAATCCTCACCCCTGTGGCACTGCTGCCCTGCAGCTGACCCTCAGTCCTGGGAGGGGCCTTCCTTTTCCAGTGAGACCTCCTCCTGCAGCTTCTCTGTGGCCTCCCCCTTCTGAGAGGCCTCCAGCAGGGCCGCCGCCAAGGGGAGGGCTGGAAGGCACCCTCGTCAGGCAGTGGGCCCTGCCAGCCCCCGCGAGGCCTGCTCTGGGGGAAGACTCTGGGGCTGCAGGAGTAGAGCGCAGGGCCCAGGGCGCTGTTGAGGTGGTGAAGGCCAGGGAGTGGCAGAAGAGCCACGACATCCAGGGAGCGGTGGGCGGACAGCGGAAGCTGTGCCAAAGATGATGCCGGGCAAGGAGCAGATGGTGTAGACTGCCACCACCATGGCCGCAAGCACACGGCCTCCCTTGGGCCTCCCTGCCCACCCAGGCACAGCGCCGGATGGTGACCCTGACGCTCACAATGGCAGAGAGGGTGCGTGCCAATGGGAAGAATTCCAGCATGGACAGCGCCTGGTGCCAGTGGAGTGAGGCGAGGGCTCCATGCCCAGCCTGTAACCAAGGCAGGCCGGGCTGGAATAGGTGGTCAGAGCAGGTGCCCACTGAGGAGCAGGATGCCCCCCAGACCCTCCCCCGGTCACCTGGGCAGCTGCCCCCACCAAGGCCCGGCTCAGCACGTGGGGTGCCGCACCACCTTCCTGTAGCGGTTGAGCACGATGGTTGTGGGGCAGGCAGCGCTGGCCGTGTGGTTGGTGGCCATGAGGAGGCTGACCTTGCGGGCAGCGGCCCCAAAGTGCAGGGTCTCAAGGAGGAAGTAGTAGTCCGTGCGGACGGGCAGGTTGATGATCAGAAGAAAGTCGGCAGTGACCAGGCTGACCAGGAACACCACGCTGGACGTCTAGGGCTGTGTGTGGAAGCAGAAAAGGAAGAGGGCCAAGCTGTTCCCCACCAGGCCCAGGACAAATTCCACACCCAGGATTGGTGCCAGGAAGGTGGACACCAGGGGGAAGAGGTGGGTGGCAGGGTGGCCAGGCCTCTCCAGAGGACCCCAGCACAGTGGAGAAGGCAGAGGAGGAGGACAAGGGTGAGGGAGGGAAGGGGGAGAGCAGAGGAGAGGGAGAGAGAGCTCAGGTTATGAAATTCCATGGGCTGCTTGGGCCGTGGACCTGAGAGAGGGTTCTGGGGTCTTCTAACCCTGCATGAGTGTTCAGGGCAAAGTGGGATGAGTGTCACTCTCAGCTGGCCACCACAATGACACAGCAACCTGGGGTCTTCATCAGCATCCTCACAGCCACTGAGCAACACCCAGCGTTCCTGTTCGCAGGCAAAGGGGATCTCTGGAGGCCTCCCTACTTCCTTCCCTGCCTCCCCCCTTCCCTGGGTTCAGGGTGACTCCACCTGAGGTCTCTGAGCCCAGCCTTGGGGTTGTGCCCTTGGCAGAGGAGGAGGCAGGGTTTGGCAGGGGTGAGAGAAGTCCAGAGTGAAGCGGGAGGAAAGTCCAGCTGGGTGAGGTGGGGGAGGGTATTCACAGCCCTGGGTGGTCAGATGTTTCCCTGCCTAAAGGCAGGTGACCTTACCTGGTGACCTGTGGCTCTCAGGATCATGCAGACCTCCTTGGACACCCTCCCATGTGCCCCCATTATATATACAAGCTGGATGGCCGCTTTTCTGCCCCCACCAGCTCTGGCTGCAGAGACCATGGGGCCCACAGGACCTTGTCCTGGGAGTGGTAGGTGGGGAGTCAGTTGAGATTTTGACCATGCTGCTGGTGGCCTCGAGGGAACCAGGCCTACTTGTGCTCTGCCTGCTTTGAATGTCTGAAAGCCTGCTGTAGATCAGCCTCCAGTTGCTCCCAGATTCCAGACGGTTCTGAAGTCCATGGTGGTCCTATATCATGAACGTGATGAAGCAGGTCCCACATGCCGAGGGGGACCTGCTAAGTTTCTACTGCCATGGCATGGGGACCTGGAGCCTTCTCCCCCAAACAGAGAATCCCGACAGTCCTGAGTTTCCCTGTCCACGTCTGCCGCAGGTCCTTGTCTTCCCCACTCCCCCAGCCCCCGCAGCATCCTCTGCAGAGTGGGGAGCGGGAGGCTGGGGCTCTGGACAAGGTGCAAGTCCTGATGTCCCACTGTGAGATGCTCTCCTGAGCCTGCAGGGCTGGTCCCATGGGTGGAGGGGAGGTCCTCAGGCGAGGGACACTGTGGCTCCTGGCTCCAAGGCCTGGCTCCCCCCACCCCTGCAGCTGGCTGGGGTGAGCAGTCTGCTGTGTGCTGCCAACTCTGCCTAGGCCTCTGGGTTTGGGGTACCTATGGCCACTGGCCCCTCTTCCCTGCCCTGGGCTCCTATCTGGCCAAGGCTGAGGGCAGACAGGCTGAGACCACAGAGAAGCAGGGTGGCAGTACCCAGCCTGAGCTTTGAATGCAGACTTCAAAACCTCTCTGAGCCTTATCTGTAAAATCAGGTGCTACCACCTTTTGGAGGGTTGTGAGAATAAAATGAGATAGTTAATATAAAAACTTCTAGGGGATTCCCTGGCACAGAGCTGGTGTTCAGAAAAATAGATCTAAATTTCATTATTTTTTCTCTGGAATTAGGCCTGCCCTTGGTACTAGGGTAAACTCTTCCTGTGGCTACCTATACTCTGACCTGGGGACTTACTGGAACATTCTGTGTTCTCAGCTTCTGCCCAGAGCAACATATTGCTACAGCCTGAGCTCTGCCAAGCCCCTGGAAGAGGCTGGTGGTGTTTTCTTTGCTTTCAGGAGAGGAAAGCCCTTGGGGGTAGAGAGGTAGGTGAGGGTCCTGACATCCGTTTCTGCAAAGTCAGGTCCTCCTCTGCCCATAGCAGGGTGTATCAAGGCAGTGAGCCGCCAGGCTGGGGTTGGGGAAGGCAGGTTCAAGTTTTCTTTTCTAGAGGAAGCTTGGGCTCCAAGCAGGTACCTGTTTTGTCTAGATCCAGCTTCAGTCCCTCCCATGTGCACACTGTCATTGACTTCTCACCGAAGTCCCTGGAAGCCAAGCCCACTGCAGGTTCCATGTTCTTGTCTCTGCTCACAGCTGCCTCTGGGGCCCCCAGCGTTCCTGGACCCCTGCAGCAGGCCCAGGGGTCCCTCCCGAGTCTCTGGACATGACAGGGGAGGGCAGGGGACATGAGGCCAGACACCTCTTCCCCTGCTGCCAGGCTCCTGGCACAGCTTTGTGGCTCCCAGGCTGGCCACAGTCTTTAAGTGTTAACAGTCGCTAACTCTGGGTGAGGGAGTTCTGTGTTTTCTACAGTTAGCACAGATCATTTCTGTTATTGGAGGGAAAACTCAACAGATGCTATTTTTAGAAGTTAAGTAAAAAAAATAAATAAATGGGAACAGAGAGAGACAGAGATGATATCAGCTGCACTCCTAGGACCAGACATGGGAGTACATGTGGATCGTGTCACACACTGTGACGATGCCCGTCCACAGGCAGGACACCAAATAACCGACCCATGGTCACCTGGGCCCGACACCCCAGACACACAACACAGTCACAGGGGGACCCCCAGGGTCAGCCATCCATGACATCTTGTGTGCGTGCAGACCCACAGGTGTTCGTTCAGCGGGAAGCCTTTATTGGGGGCCTTTTCATGGAGACAAGAGCTGCACTGAGCCTTTGGGGACAGGGGGACGGAGCAGCAGCTGTGCTGCAGGGTGCAGACCACCTGGCAGGGCCGGCGGGGCAGTGGGCTGAGGCTGGTAGGCAGAAGGGAGCCGCTGGTCCCCAGGAGCCTGGCTTCCTGGCTGGTGACAGTGGGAGGATGGATGACAGTGATGTCCAGGGCCTGGTGTGTGGGACCCGGGGGGCTCAGCAGCAGCACAGAGAGGCAGCGGGGGCGGGGAGAGTGATTCGGCAGGTGTGGTGCTCAGGGTGGCGCTCAGGCACAGCCGTGGCTGCTTTAGGCCCACAGCAAGACAGTCACCCCAGGGGCTTCTTGCAGGCGGGGTCCTGGGTCACAGACAGGGCCACAGAGCCTGGTGCTCGCTCCCAGGCATAGCTGTGGAGACACAGATGAGCAGGGGGCAGACCAGGCAGGCCCTGAGGATCTCAGGGAAAGGAGGGCAGCCCCACGTTGAGGAAAGTCCTCCCCGTGTACTCACGAGGTCCCAGCTGGCACCAGGAGGCTGTCATCAGGGTTCAGGCTCAGGCGCCGTCCCTCCATCGTCACCACCGAGGAGCCCTCCTGGGAAAGAGGAAGGGGAGGTTCAAATGTAGGCCGTTGGGCCTCAACACCTGTCTGAAAGTCCCCAAGCCTGCCTTGGAAGGAGGCCCTGAGAGCAGGTCCAGCCATGGGAGCCCGAGGCCCAGGAGCAGTCTGATCTCCTTGGAGGTTGTACCACCCTGACCCAGGGGCCCCACTTGCCAGCTGCCACAGCCACACGTCCACATCCTGTCTCGACACTTTGCTGCTGCCTTGTCCATGGGCAATCACCTGGTGGGAGGTGACATGGAAATTTCTGGTGCTTCTTGCCCCACATGGGAGACAGTCTTGAACCTAGCCCCCAGATGACAGGCCTGCATGGGGCAGGGGCAGGGCTCGTAACAGCCCATCACCATGTGCCAAGCAGAGACGAGGGTGTGGAGAGGAAGGCCACCTGGGCCTCAGGCCATGTGACAGGTGCTGGCCACCTGTTACTCGGGATGGCTCATGCCTGGATTTCACATGCATGTGCTCCTTTTGTCCTTCGGACATGTGCTTGTGTGAAGCCATGCCCAGCAAAGCACACTAGGGACACAGCTTGCCAAGGTGCCTGCCTCCTCTTCTCTGTGAGCTGTGACAAGTCTGGCCTCAGGAGGAGGAGGGACAAGGAGAGCAAGGCTGAGGCTCCTCTGACATGCCTCAGCCGGAAGCCTTCAGCTGCTGTGTGGCCGTGCTCCTGTGGCCCAGAGTGGGGCTCAGTGGATGCTCCTGGGTGTAGACTGAAGCAGGTAGGAGGAGTATGAAGGGGCGGGATGCAGGGCCGTGAAGGCAGCTCAGTCTGAGTGACACTGGGTGTTGGCATGGGAGGGGCTTCATGGTGCGCCTACTCTCCTAGTCCTGGGTAAGTCAGGGCATCTCTGGTACCCAAGGGCAGCAGGGCAGACCCCTAAGGGAGGCCTGTATCATGAGCATCCCTCCACGGGTGACTAATTCAGACTGCACCAGCTGTGCCAGTGGCAGACTGGGAAGACAAGTGAACACTAGCTTCCTCCCCCCTCGCCCTGCTCCTCCTGCCCCCACACTCGGTACAGAGTGAGCTTTCTCAAACACCACTCCGGCCTCGTCACTCCAATGCTTCAACACCTAGGTGGAGCCCTGTTGTGGGTGGGGACAGGTGGGACAGGTCCTCCCACTTGGCCAGCCCAGCAGACCCACCAGGGCCTGGCCCTGCTGCTCTGCAGCCACACCTGCGCTAGCTCTCGCCAACCCCAGCTGCTGTCAGTGCCCAGCAGTTTCGAGCCTCCACGCCTTTGCTCATGCTTCTCCCTCACCTGGAATGCTCTCGCCACCTCCCTTTCTTTCTTTTGCAAACTCCTACATTAGCTTTAAAATGCAACTTGCACATCACCTTCTCCAGGAAGCTGTTCCTTGACTTCCCTTGCAGCCTGAGTTCCTCCTATATCCTCCTAGAGCTTCCTGTAGCTTCTCTATCTATAGAGATAGATATCTATCTCTATCTCTTATCTTTTTTTTTTTTCTTTTTGAGACAGAATCTCGTTCTGTTGCCCGGGCTAGAGTGCTGTGGCATCAGCCTAGCTCACAGCAACCTCAAACTCCTGGGCTCAAGCAATCCTCCTCCCTTCAGTCTCCCGAGTAGCTGGGACTACAGGCATGTGCCACCATGCCCAGCTAGTTTTTTCTATATATTTTTGATTGTCCAGCTAATTTCTTTCTATTTTTAGTAGAGATGGAGTCTTGCTCTTGCTCAGGTTAGTCTCAAACTCCTGAGCTCAAACGATCTGTCCACCTCAGCCTTCCAGAGTGCTACGATTACAGGCATGAGCGACTGCACCCGGCCAAGCTTCTCTGTCAAATAATATATCACACAATTGTGGCAATTGTTGATTAACAATTGAACAGGTCATACATACATTTTACCTACTCTCCCACCAAAGCCTGAAACATAACAGGCACTTTATCAATGTTGAATGAAAAAAGCACTGTTTGGATCGTTCTGCACCTCTCCACCCAAACTTCAATCCCAAACAACTCTCTCCCTTCTTGGCTTCTAAGGCTGTGACTGGCCAGAGGCCCAGGAATTCCTAGCAGGGAGAAACTACAGACCCTCAGGAAGCTGTCAGTAGGTGGGGCAACCTCCCACTCTGAAAGCAAAGGAAGATTGCTTGGGACCAAGTAACCTCCATGGACCTCCACTCAGAGCAAAGCCATCATTCTCTGAGTCAGGGAGGGAACAGGAAGGCCTATCTTCATGTGTGCACGTGTGTCCATTTCCCGGGCCTGCTGGGTGGATGCCCTGCATGGCCCAGGGCTGCATTACCTTGGTCTCATAGGTGTCCCCAAACAGGCTGAGGGGAGTGCCCGCCTGCAGCTCCCTGCGGTGACCATCCAGCCAGGCCTCCAAGGACATGGGCTCCATGATGGATCGTGTGCTCAGAGGGAATGGTGGCTCCTTGAGCAGCTGGTCTGTACCGGCACGCAGCATGGCTATGGTCAGTGACCTTTGGTCCCAGCCCACCCAGCCCCAGTGGGCCCAGTTCCCAGGGGCCCCAGCTCTCAATTGCTGGAATAGGCTCTGGACCCAGCCCAGTGACCAAGCGGCCATGTGGGGGTACAATGTGGTGTTGTCTTCTCAGTATCCTGAGTACTGGGCAGAGTATTCAAAAGCAGACTCCCTGCTACCCTGGGCCAAGACCCATCCTACTCTGGGAAAGGAGGAAGGGAGAGAGGTGCTTCCTAGGGGCCTCACCAGGGATGGGCTTTCCTGTTCTACACTGCTCAGAGTTGAAGAACCTGCAGGGACAAGAAGGGAGGAGAGGAGTGGTGAGCATTCCCGCCTGAGTGGGCAGTGAGACACACACGTGTACACACACACCACACGCACACTCTCGGGGCCCTCATACAACTTGCACATCTGCTGTCCTTATCCTCACAGCTCCCCCCACCCCCCTACCCCCCAAGGTGGGCTCTCCAGTCCTGGCCCTGCAGCACTGGGTGGGGGGGGGCACTTTCTCCCAGGCCAGCAGGTGCTGATGTGGAGTCCCAGGACAGCAGGGCAGGGGCTGGGCTGGGGCTCACTCCTGGATGATGGGGGCCAACTGCGTGCCGAGGTCTGTGCAGTAGAACCACTTCTCAAACAGGACATCCGTGGTATCTCCCATGTAGTACCTGCCAGAGCAGAGGACAAGCAACTCGGTTCCCCATCCGGTGGCTTCAGGGCAAGCTCACTCTTGCCGAGCTGGGCTGCCTGCTTCACCCGTTAGCACAGCCCAGTGGTCAGTGCCTGATCATTTGTACCTGGCTCTTCCAGAAGCACATGGGAGCCCCCAAAGTGGGAGGGCTATTACCCACAACCTTCGCATGGCTCTTCCTGGCTCCCAAAACTAAGCCATTTACAAAGCAGATAGAACGCTGAGCTCAGAGAAGCTGGGCAACTTGTCAGGGATTACACAGCCTGTAAATGGCAGAAGCAGGCCAGACTCGAGAAGCTTAGAGAGCATCTAATCCCAGCGTCTTTGTTTTTCTCAAAGAGAAAGCTGAGGCTCAGCCTGAAACCAGGGCCAGTGGCTGGATGCTCTCCCAGGCGGTGGTGCTCTAGGCCAGAGTACACAGAAACTTAGAAGCGAACATGTGGAAGACGTCCCTCAGATGAAGGGTTCTTCTCCTTTTAGGGCCATGACTGCTTTTGAGAAATGAAGCCAAGCATTGGACCTCTCTTCTAGGGGCAGGCCCACGTGCACAGACACATAGCCTTCAGTAGACCCCCTGAAGCCCACCCCTGCTCCTAGCGTGGCTCAGCGAGTTCCTCCCCAGGCCTGAGGAGCACCTGGCAGGCTGGGCTGTGCCCCAGGTCCCTGCGGGTGCAGGCACACGGCAGGTGCCAGGAACATCTGTTAACTGAATGCCTAATTCCAGGCCCAGGCTAGCTCTGTCTGCTCTTTAACTCCTACTGAAAAAGAGAAGCGGTCCTGCTAACGGGAGAAGGCTTGCAAACACAGTGCACCCGCCCACCTGGCAGCCTGAATTCCAGCCCGGGATGCAGCCGGCCACCAGAAACCCTCATAACTGGACTGCAAGGCCCTCCGGGAACTGCCTTCAGAGTGGTATTTTAATGTTGAGTCCCTGGCTTTTATTAAAGGTCAAAAGCAGCCAGATGAAATCCGTTATTGAATTTGCTGTGAAATGTTATTGAGGACGCCGTCCTCTCCATCAAAGACTCCCTATATAATGCCCCTTGCGAGAAATTTCTTTTAGAATTTAAAGCCAGGTATCTGTCCCTACAACAGACTATTATGCAGTAGACTGTTAGGCAGCCATTGTGTTTTTTGAAAAGATTAAATAGTATGAAAAGTACTCATGAATTTAAGTAAAAGAAGTAAAATTCAAGCCTATGCATTCAGTACGACTCAATGCTGTAAGGTATGAGTATACACAGAAAAAAGACAAGATGGAAGTTTAGGTGCTTTGTTAGGTTTAATTGGTGGCAAGACAAATACTATTTTTGTTTTCCCTTTTTTTATTATTTTCTTTTCTTGAGATATAATTCACATACCATAAAATTTACCTTTTTATTGACAAGTAATTTTAACTTAGTTCACTTTGCATTCCTCTACTTTTCCAGATTTTGAGAGTGGACGTGTATGACTTTGGTAATTAGAAAAAAGGAGGCGTTTTTAAAATAAGTATTATAACAAAAGATGTGGGCCCAAGTATCCTGATCCCAGTAACTTCATGGGAAACTTAAATATTCTTAGTTAAGAAATACAAAAAGCAGTTTAGCTTTTGGAAAAAAAATCTCTGTTCCTCTGGGCTATAGGCTGCTTCCTGCTTTCAGAGAATGATAATCATGTGACTTACCAGGACCAAATGGGACCACAGCTATAGGATCAGTGTCTACGGCTGGGCCTGTGTTCTTCCCCTCCTTAGTGTTGAGTCTCACGCCTCTCTAAGTATATGCCGTCCTGGCCCTAATTCCATATTTCTCTACCATGTCAGACCTAGCAAGTTCAGCTCTAGCAAATTTAACTTCCCTGTGCCCGGTTTCTTCATCTGTAAAGCACCGATGGTAACAGTACCTACCCCATAGGGTAGCTGGGAGGATTAAGTGGATAAATACACACAAAGCCCGTAGCCGAGTGCCTGGCACAGAGCCACTGCTTTCTGAGGTTAGTGCCTGCCGGGGAATGAGCTGGGGCTGAGAAGCAGAGGGAGGCACGGGCGGAGACGCTAAGCCGGGGAGAGCAGCAGTGTTCCACTTGGACCGGGGAAGGTGGATCCGACTTTGGCGCCCCTCCGCCTTACTTGCCACGTCCCACCTGTTCCAGCAGACCTCGGGCAGAGAGCACAGGTGATTCCAGCCAGGTCATCAGGCTGAGTGGGCTCCCAGGGGGTCCCAGAGAACAGAACCCCCTGCACCCTGCCCCTCCCCATCAGCCAGCAAATACAGGATCTCCATTGCCTCCCTCCCGCCCTCTCTGTGGCCCTCTCTAGCGTCCTCTCTGCTGCAGTTCTGAGCTGCACCCCCTGCTGCAGGGCGCATTTACCTGAGCCCATCTAACTCCGTTTGCAGCCGCCTCCGCTCAATCACCAGCCCCACGGTGCTGGCAAACCTCTGTGGTGAGTGGGGCACCCGGGCAGGCAGGAGGAATATCTGCAGTGGTGGAGACAAGGGGCCTGGCAGGGCTGCGACCCCTCCCGAAGACCTCAGCGCCCAGCCTCCTGTGCACCCCCGAAGACCCCTGGGGCCCTGCTTGTCCACCCTGGGCCCTCCTCTTTGCCCAGCTCCACGCCAGGGAACCACAGGGGTGTCGGGCTGTGCCGAGGATGGGGAAGCCTGGAGGAGGAAGTGCCCGAGGATGGAGCAGGTGCATGTCGGGCGGGCAGGATGGCAGGAAAAGGCAGGGAGGACAAGACCTCAGCCAGGGCCAGCCCCAGTGCACAGGGTAGGTTCCAGCTGTGGCAGCCTTTCATCTGCCCACACCCCTGGGGCCCAGCCTCACCTCTCCCTGCCGAATGACCACATCCCGGTGGTTCCCTCGCTCCAGGACGCGGAGAACCATGTCCCCCTCCAGCTGGTAAAACACCTGTAGGACAGTGAAGAGGCTCAGACTCTTCCTGCTCCCTCCTCCAGGTCCTTGGCCACTGCCCAGGCCCTGAGTTCTACCCAGGAAACCGCAGAAACTTCCTAAAGGCCTCGGAGTTTATGAGAAGCTCTGCCACCCCTGTCCTGAGGCCCTGGGGATGGAGGCTGCTGATCCAGCTGGACCTTGAACCCCCAGAACCAGAAGCCCCCCAAGGTGATAGGGGTCCATCTACTGATCCTTTTCCACCAGAGAGTCTGTCTCTGTCTCTCCTTAGGGGACCACTTTTCTCTTTTAATTTTACTTTTGTTCATTTATTTTGGGTGGGTAGTAGAGAAACACAGTTTAAAACTAAAGGTACAAAAGGGTACTTAGTGCAAATCCCAGCTCCACCCGCCTCTCCCCATAGCCCCTAGCAACTTGTGTGTCAAGGAGGGGCCAACCCCACCCCTCCCTCGGCCCCAGGCCCTCACCCAAGCTCACCCCTCAGCCACTTGCTTGCCCCCTGCTTACCCCTCTCCCCTTCCTCCTGCCCCCACCAGCCCAGCCCACCCCACCCCACTTTTCCAGATCCTGGAAAACAGGAGGAGAAACTGCCCAGAGAACCTGGCTCCCGGGACCAGGAGGAGTGCCCAGGTCCCCCTCAATACTTGAGTCTCATTTTGGAGACTCATGTATGTCAGGTTTAGGGGAGGGACCAGAGCAAGGACAGCCCCTGTATCTGCAGGAAGGGGGGACTCCAACTAGAGCCTCTCTCACCCACAGGGGCTGGGCTATTTCCTGGGGCTCTGCCCAGCAGGGTTGCTGGCCCAGGCTCCTTCCAGGAGGCTCTAAGGTGTCACTGCGCATGCACCAACGCTGAGGCAGCAGCGCTGCGCTGTGATTTCAGCTGTGCCCCCTCCACCCACCCTGTGTCCACCCCTCCCCAGTCCATAATCTCTGGCCCCTGTGCGAGAAGTGCCCCTCCCTCGGGCCAGTCTGCAAGCCCACCTCTTCACCCTCCTCGATGTGGTAGTCCTTCCTGGTGTTGGGGCCCCCGACGAACATGACTTTGAGCTGCTCCTGGTGCCTGTAATGGACGAGGGGGAGAAGTCCTGAGCTATGTCTGGGGAGGGAGAGGAGAGGGGCTGGGGGGAGTTGAGTACACGTGGGAGAAGGAGCAGGGCTGTGTCTGTATCGATGTCCCTGTTTCCCCTACTCTCACCCAGCACACGCCCAGGTGCATCTAAGTGTCTCTGTGTCTGGGATTGTGTGTGTCGGGGGTCCCTCTTTGTGTGTCCCCCACATCCTCTGAGCCAACAACCAGCCTCCCTAGTCTCTCATTACAGGAGGGGCTGGGGCTGGGGCTAGACGGTTTGTACACACGGGCCATGGCAGCGTAGAGGCTGCCTGTATCCACGACGATGGTGACGATGTGGGGGGGGGGGGGGGGGGCTGAGCCCCCAAACCTGGATTGGTAAGTCCTTGCTGAGTGTCCTCTCCTGTGGGCTGTTTTTCAGCCCACAGTGGGGGCATGGGGACAGGAGGGAAGACACAATCTTTTTCCTTTTTTTTCCCTTCTGGGCATAAGTGAGAAATAGCATCTGTCATGCGCCAATGTTAGGAAAGACGGATGAGATTACAGGGCAGGAGGAGGGTGTCATGGGGCAGTTCTGACCTTAAACACTTGTTTATTTTTTAATTTTGTAGAGATGAAGGTCTCCTTACATTGCCCAGGCTGGCCCAGAACTCCTGGGCTCAAGTGAGCCTCCCACCTTGGCCTCCTGAGTAGCTGGAATCACAGGCACACACATCACGCCGGCTTACGAGCTGGAATGAGTCAGAGTGGCACGGCGCTTCCGGGAGTGGGGAAAAGCTGTGAGGTACTTGGCCAGAGAAGCGGGGTGCAGACTGGATGCATGGGGGGTTCTGGTGGTGTGCGGTGGTCTTGGGGAGTGATGGTGAGAAGGCTGGATTAGGAGTGGGACCACCAAGGAGTTTGGTCTTGGCCTGAGGGGTGCCAAGGAGCCTCGAAAGTCTTTTTAAAATCAACTTCACTGAGATATAATTCAGGTACATATGGAAAACTCTGGAACAAGTTCTCTCAAGAACTATTTCAAGTAACTAGTCAGAATGCATAAGCCAGATGTCACTCCTCTGCCCAAGACCAGCAGCTTCTCATCTCACTGGGGGAAGGGAGGGTTACGGGCTGAACTGTGTCCCCCCTTCCCAAATTCATATGTTGAAGTTGTAACTCCCAGTACTGTGGAATGTGACTTGACTTGGAAACAGGGGCCTTGGGCTGTGATTAGCTGAGTGAGAATGAGGTTATCCTGGAGTAGAGTGGGCCCCTAATCCACTGTGCCTGGTGTTCTTCTATGAAGGGGGAATGTGGACCCAGACACATGCCCAGGGACAAGGCCTTGAGAGTGGAGATTGGCATGATCAGGAGAAGCCATGGAACACCAGTGACGCCAGCAAACCACCAGGAGCTGGGGGATAGGGCTGGGGCAGAGTCCCCCGCAGAGCCCTAGCAAACAGATACTGGGCACAAAGCCAGAGTCCTTTCTCTGCCCTGAGGTCTGCCCGTCTGCCCGCCTTGGCCTCCACTCCTTGTTTGTTGGTATTTATTGGCTGCCTCCTTCCACCAGAATGTCAGCTACACAAGGGAAGGGGCTTTTGTTCGTTTGTTTACAGTTCGTTTGTTTCCACCCTCAGTGTCTGGAACAGCCTGGCATGTAGAAGGTGCTCAGTGAACATCTGTTGAATGAATGAAGGGAGGGCCTGTGCTTATGGAGGGCTGGGTGGCAGGTCTGGAGGCAGGGCAGCCAGTACTGTCCCGGCTGGAGGTGACGAAGGTGGAACCAGAGCAGTGGCCGTGGGCTAGAAAGGAGCAGATGGATGTGAGACACCATCAGGGGCAGAAATTGGTGGAGTGAGAATGAGACTGTAGACAGGGGCAAAAAGGAGAAAGGAGGCAAAAGATGGTAAAGCTTTGAGTTGGAGGCGACAGCAGCAGTAGAAGAGATCTCGGGTCATGCTGACTGTTAGCCATGGCGGTATTGCACAGTGCCCAAGAGCAAGTGTGGACTTCGGAGTCAAACGGTTTCAGGGGCTTGAGTCTGGAGCCTGTCCAGCACTAGCTCAGTGACACGGGGAAAGTTGCTGACTATGGTAACGTCCCGCTGCATGGGGCTACTGCGAGAATTGCAGGTGGCAATGCAAAAACACTTGGTGCAGTCTGGGCCTGAGAAAGTGTTAGTGATTGTAGCTGTCTGGTTTGAGGTGCCATCCCCCTGGAGATGATGTCCTGTGGACACAGGAAACATGAGGAATGTGAACCTGGATCTGGGGACCACATGAGGCCCAGCCATGGAGTTGTGGGAAGGGGAGGGAGGTGAAGGGGCCATACAGGAAGAAGGCCTGAGGGTCTGCTCAAGAAAGATGGCAACTGGACAGGCCAACCCTGTTGGATGCTATGGGGAGAGGTGGCCTAGGGAGGGCTGGGTGTGGGTGCCAGTGCTGCGTGCCCATAAAGAGGGGTCCCCAGAAGAGCAACAAATCAAGATCCTCCCAAAGAAGCTGGTCTCTGACTTCACCTTTGCCTGCAGCTTCCTGGACAGGGTCGGGGTGCATGATTTGAATGGCCCCAGACCTAGGTTCTATTGCAATTCTGGGGCATTCAAAACCACCCTCCCCAAATTTCTGCGTGTTCCCAAAGTGCACGGAGTCACTGGGAGTTGGAGAGAAGTTTTTGGGCCCTAAAGGGAGGGGCGCGTCCTGCCATCTCATATCTCCCACAGCCTCGGCGCCACTTCAGCCTTCCTCAGAAGGCACAGTCTCTAGAGTCACCAGAAAGGGGAACAGACCCAGGCCGCTGGAACCGGAACAGCCTGTCCTGGCCATCCCCTGAAGACACCTCACGAATCACGGCCGCCCTCCTGCAGGCCTGGGTGAAGGAGCTGGGCGCTGGGGCGTAAGGACGCAGGTGGAGGAGGAGGAGAGGACAGCGCGGAGGGCACGGGGCGCCCGGGACTCACATGAGCTTGTTGCAGACCGGGGGCAGGAAGGAGGCCCGGTTCTCCTCCACCCACGTCCGCACGGCCACGGGGCGCTGCATGGCGCCCAGAGAAGCGTCTTCTGCCTTCTAGGCGCTGTCCTTCGGCCGGCCGGGAGGTGGGAGAGCCGGGCTCCGCCCCGCCGCTTCCAGGCCGCCTGGTTAATCCGCAGCCCTGGTTTCAAAAGTTGGAGCAATCCCACACGACCCCGCGGTGGCTGGCGCAGGGCCCCGCGGTTCCGCCTCCAGCCGACTCTGGCTTGAGCGCGCCGCCCCGCGCCCTCGCCCTCGCGCCCCTCGGCCAGGGCCAGCTCGCCCCGCTCACCAGCGCCGCAGGTGGGGGCGGGACACGGGATCCAGCTCACTTGCCCCCAGGGGAACCCAGGGAGGCACCGCCAAAATACGCGAGCGCCAGAATATATGGTGCTGGCACTGGATTTAAGCCTCAGTTTTCCTATCTGGAAAATGGGGATGACAGCACAGCCACTCCGGGCTGCCGTGCGCACTGAACGAAAAGATGTCCAGCGGCCGCCACAGGCCCTGATTAGCGTCCGTCCCCTCCGCTTTCACGAGGACAGAGGTCAGGGCAGAGTCCCCAGAGGCACGGAGTGCGACTGACGACGGGAGGGGGAAGCAGCTGTAAATACAGCGCTGCCGGAGCCCCCACCCCACCCCCACCGCGGGGAACCGGACGGAGGGCTCCTCCCGAGGGAGACACTGTCCTCAGCACCAGGTCGCAGTGGACACTGACGAGGTGTCTGGCACTGTTTTGAGCTCTTCGCGCGTCTTAGGAATCTACTCAGCATACTACTATAGGAGGCATTTTACAGATGCAGACAACGGCCCTCAGTGTCCCCCTCTCATCCATCTCGGAGGAGGGGGGCAGACAAACCAGTGTTCAATGGTTACAGCCCCGCCTACCGGGCCCTGGCGCGGTTAGCCCCCAGGCCCAGGAGGTGGAGGCTGTTTGAAGTGGGAGGAGCCCGCGTGCCGTGGAGGAGGGGAGGCAATCTGACACTTCCTCTTTCTTCAGGACTCAGAATTCTTAGTAAAAGTGGAGGAAGGTGGAGTGGGGGGTGGGAGGTGGGCAAGAAGGCAAATGGCTCCGGCCTCTGACACCAGAATCCAGGCTAGAGAGTTTAAGAAAGTCTAACCCTCCAACTCTTCCCTTCCCTCCCTGCTACCTGGCTGGGCTGTTTTTCTCAGCATTTCAGACTCCCCTGGTGCAAGTCAAAGTCAAAACCCAGACAGATGCCAGACAGGATTCCCACCCAGCTCAGCTGGGATCCTCCTGTTTCTGCCCCCTGCCCCCGCACCTGTTTTCTTCTTCTTCTCTTTCCTTTTTCTTTGTATTTATTTATTTACAACATTTTAACTGAGCATTTCTCCCTAAAATATTGCTTAGCACCTAAATAACTCACATCACCTTCTTTATTTTTCTCAGCGACGAGTGATCAGAGCAGACGTACACAATGACACATGAAACACCAAGGATCTATGATGTGTTAGGTTTGCTTGGGATGTTTGTGAAATGGAGGGATGGATGGGTGGGTGGATGAAGGCATGAATGAATTCACACTCAAAAGGGAAAAAAAAGTGATTCCAGCCCAACAGATGTTTGGTTACATAGTACAAAGGAAAAATGATAGTTACCGTGTATTTGAATTGATGTAGTCAAATAACATGAATAATTGAGGCCACAAGTAGAATTTTTAGGGTCTGAATTATCCAGATTAAACCTATACATAGGCTAAACTACTGCTGTATAAGCACTATCAAATATGCCCTCTGATTTGTGCTATGTAGATAAAATACCACATCTCGTCTACTCAGTTGGCAAGACTAGCTTGGGTGTTGGACACCATTTAGCTCCAATGTTCAGAAAATGAACAGTTCCCATTTTATCTGAGTGTTCTGGCATTGTTGAGTCTGAGCCATTTGGAATCCTTCTGGATAGGGCCCCTTGGGCCCCTTCTAGTTTCTGGAGTTTACCCTCAGGAGCCACCTTTGTCCTGTGCACAAAGTAGCTCATTTCCATCACAGAATCAGATGCAAACTGCATATACCCTACCGCCTGGGCTCATCAAAGCCTGTCCTGCTTGCTGCTGTCTTGCTCTGGCCTCCCCTGGATGGTGTTGGCACCTCCAGGTCACTGAGACCCGTCGATGCTTCTAGGCTTTGCTGAACCCAGTTGGTGAAATCTATCTAATACTTTAATTCTGCGGTACCTGAACTAGTTGCTTCAGCAGATCCCTTTCCCAGCCCGCCTTGGTCTGTCTTTGTCTGTCTCTGTCTCCCTGTCCCTCTCACTTTCCCACCCTTTCATATAATTCAGCAGATATTTAAAAACAAATACCTTTATATGAATAACAAGGCCAGATCATGAACTGTACTAGTTATTTGGAAATCTAGGTTTTGGCCCTGCTAACTCTTTAACTTGAGTTATTTACAAGTCTGTTTAAATTTTTCTAGAAACATGTTGGTTTGTTTTCTGTTTGGCTATCATTTTGTTTTGTTTTTCATTTCCAATTTTATTGCATTGTGGCAAGAGAAGATGGTCTGTGTTGTATTATTTTGGGGTGGGGAGATGTGTGTTGTTTTTTTTTTTAGCTTAGCCTATGGTCAGTTTTTTGTGAATGTATATTCTCTGCTTAGAATGTAGTTCTAAATATTTCTATTAGATCAAGCTATTGTTTACTCCAATAGTCTTGGTCCTTATTTTTTTAACTGATTACTATTTTGGTTTCTAAGAGAGGTATGTTAAAGACTAATGCTATAATATTTTGGGTCAACTTCTCCTTATATTTTAACAGATTTTGTTTTACATATTTTGAATCTATGTTGTTAGGTGAAAACATACTCATATTTATTTTCTTGGTGTAGTGTTTCTTTTACCACTGAGAAATTTTTCCTCTTAGTTTCTTTTCACCTTGACCTCAACTTTGTCTCATATTAATATTGCTACACCTGCTTCGTGTGTTAGTATTTTCCAGGTATGTTAAATTGGTCACAAAGATACCACAATAACTCCTTCCCTGCCCCAATCTATATTTCTTGCAGTGTGACTTTGTCACTGTTCCATTAAGAGATAAAGTCTGTTTCCCCATCTGTTGAATCATGGCTGGCATTGTGACTTGCCCTGAATACAGAAAGCAGCAAAACTGATGTGGGACATCTGAGTCTAGTCCTTGCCAGGTCTTGCAGCTGCCGATCTCATCGCCTGGAACGCTGCTGCCACCATGTGCAGAAGCCTGGGCTAGCGGCCTTGAGGACAAGAGACTGCCTGGAGAGAAAGACTGGCCGATGGCCAGCACCAGCTGTGTAAGACCATCTTGGACGACTGCAGCTGTGTGAGTGACCCCCAGGGAGTGGAAGTCAGGTCAAGTGGAAGACCTGCCCAGTGGTCCTGCTTGTTACTTTAAGTCATTAAATTTTGGGGACGATTTGTTACACTGTAATAGATAACTGAGATACCAGATGTATATATTCCCGTAACCTTTGTGTCATTTTGTTTTAGATATATGTCTCATGAATGACATATAGCTAGAGTTTTTTTTAAAAAAATCCAATATGGTAGCCTATGATATCTAATATGTGGATTCAACCCTTCCCATATTTATTTAATTATTGATACTTAAATAAATTTGTACTTATTCATGACATCTTGTTTTGGGTATTCTAATCACCATGCTGTGTTCATTTCCCATGGCTGCTATAAGAAATTACCAGAAACTTAGTGGCTTAAAATAATGCAAATTTATTATCTTACAGTTCTGGAGGTGAGAAGTCTGAATGGGTCTTATGGGCTAAAATCGAGGTATTTTCAGAGCTGCATTATTACTGGGGGCTCTAGGAAAGAATCTGTTGCCTTGCCTTTTCTATCTTCTAGAAGCCGCCTGCATTCCTTGGCTTGTGTGCCTTCCTTCTTCGTTAAGACACCTCATTGCACCCTCTGCTTTTGTTGTCACATTTCTTCTCTGACCCTCCAGCCTCCCTCTTTCCCTTAGGGGAATCCTTGTGACGACTTTGCACCCACCAGATAACACAGGATAATCCCTTGTGTCAGACTCCTTGGTTTAAGCCCATCTGCAGTATTCTCCTTTATTATGTAAGGTAACATAGTCACGATTCTGGGGATTAGGACATGGAGATTTTTGGCAGGGATAGATTGAGGGGGTATTATTCTGTTTACTACACATCCTTTCTCTTTGTCTCTTCTCTTCTTCTTTTCTCTTTCCTAATCTATCACAATGTTCCTGGCTGTGAATAACAGAGACCGCAGTTAAACAGTGGCGTACCAACAGAAGTTTAAAGGCTCACGTAGCTGGATACCCAGAGTGGGAGCCTGTGACTCAGCGGTGACATCACCGACCCTGGCTCTTTCCAGTGCTCCAGTCCACTCCTCCAGCACCAGCTTCATCCCAAGGCTGGTTCCCTGAGTGGTCAGGGGATGGTCACCAGGGGCCATTGAGGCCGAAGCTTCTTTATCCTCACCCACTGAGGAAGAGAGTTGATTACCCACAGCTCTCTCTCTGTACCAGGGTTTCTCAACATCAGCACTGTTGGCAGGGCTGGGTGATTCTTTGCTGTGGGGGCTGCCCTGTGCATTGTACGATGTCTGGCAGCACCCCTGGCTTCTTTCTGCTAGAAGCCAGTAGCTTCTTTGCCACACCCACGTGAGAATCAGGTGTGTTTATTGGCCATAAAGAGGCTCACATGCTCATACCTGAACCAATCACTGGGGCAGAGAGAGTGGGATACTTTCTTTGGCTTAGTCAAATTGGGATTTATACTATACTTGAAGCTGGAGGTAGAATCAGCTTCCCCTAAAGTCTGTGGCCATGTTGGGGAGGGATGAGGAGCTCAAACAAAACCCTGGCTCATGACTAGGAGGTGAAAAATACTGCTTGGTGGAAGGCCAAGGCGCGAGGATTGTTACTAAAAACAGAAAAACTTAGCTGGGCATGGTGGCATGTACCTATAGTGCCAGCTACTCAGGAGGCTGAGGCAGGAGGATCACTTGAGCCCACGAGTTTGACGTTGCAGTGAGCTATGATGATGCCACTGCACTCTAGGCTGAGTGATACAGCAAGACCTGGTCTCAAAAAAAAAAAAAAAAAATACTGCTTGGGAATGTCCACCACATCTGGCTTTTGATTAGGTTTTCTTCGATCCATTTCACCTTTACTTTCTTTCTTTTTTTTTTATTTTGGCATATTATAGGGGTACAAATTTTAAGGTTTCAATAAATGCCCTTTCTCCCCCCTCCCCCCACAAGTCTGAGTTTCCAGCATGACCATCCCCCAGATGGTGCACTTGTATCATGTATGTATGACCATACCCGCCCCCCTCCCCCTCCCACTGCCCAATACCCCTATTACTGTAGCACCTATGGTGCCACTTAGGTGTGCTCAGCTAATACCAGCTTGCTGGTGAGTATATGTGGTGCTTTTTTTCCATTCTTGGATACTCACTTAGTCGTATGGGTTCCGTCAACCAGGAAAATATAAGGTGTGCTATATCACCATTGTTTCTTAGAGCTGAATGTACTCCATGGTATACATATTCACATTTTATTAATCATTCTTGGATTGATGGCACTTGGGCTGTTTCACAGCCTTGCAGAATGAATTGGCTGCTACAAATATTCGAGTGCAGTGTCTTTTTTGTAGAGTGTCATTGGATCTTTGGGTAGATGCCCAGTAATGGGATTGCTGGATCCAATGGTAGATCCACTTGTATCGCTTTAAGGTATCTCCATATTGCTTTCCACAGAGGTTGAACTAGTTTGCAGTCCCACCAGCAGTGTAGGAGTGTTCTCTCTCTCC